AAAAAAAAAAATCAATAGCCTCAGCTCAACTAACCAATCCTACAGTGGTGGCATGTTCAGGGTCCACGGATTTGTTCACCCTGGCTGTCCCAGTTTATACATAAAGCAACTGGGAAGAAATAAGAGTGGGATCTAGAGCCTCTGATCTTTGTTCTTAAAAAGGTCATGCATTAGGAACCAAAAAATTCCAAGAACATAACCAAGCAGGTCACCAAAAGGGAAACAGGGAAATAATTTACTAGGATTTTGGAAACGCCTCTAGCAAATGTTCAATGACAAAGATTATTCAAGAGACTAAGGGAAATGTACTCTAGGAAGGGACCGAAGGGCAGAAATATCAGGCAATTCTCTGGTTATATAAAGTATAGGGTCCTTCAGGTAAATTGTTCTTCACACATATGACTTGAATATATTTTTAAAAGATATTTAAAGTATCTTTGCTACTTCTCACAAATCATGTCAAAAACCAAGCCCTTGTTATTCCCTGCCTCCTACCCTCTGCCTTAAAATCTGTTCCACCCAGTCTTCCCCATCCATTCAGGCAACTCCGTTCCTCCAGTAGATTAGGCCCAGAGCCTTGGAATTATCCTTGATTTCTCTCCTCCAATCACTCCCCAAATTTGATCCATTAGTAAGTTCTTACAGCCCTACCTTAAAAAACATCACCTCTACCACTACCTTTCTGATCTCCTCTTCCCTGTGACTGCAATATCCTCCTAACCAGTCTCCCTGACCCCACCACTGATCCTCTTCAGTCTATTCTCATCTCGGCAGCCAGAGTGATCCCATTAAATCATAAGTCATGTCACTCCTCGGTGCCAAGGTCTAACAGCCGCCATCCCACTCAGAGCAAAATTCAAGGTCTGTCCATGGCCTACAAGGTAGGTATGGTTTGGCCTTTACCTTGCACCACTTTCCCCCTTAATTACTCTGATAATACTGACTCAGATCATACTGACTGACTTAGTCCATCTCAGAGCCTTTGCAAGTACCTGAAATGTTCTTCCCCCAGATGTCAACACGGGTCTCCCCTTCACTTCCACTGGGTCTCTGCTCAAATGTGACATTAGAGTCCCCTTGATCTATCTAAAACAGCACCTCTATCACGCATTACCGCCCACTCCTTCTTTTTTTTTTTTTTTTTTGCGGTACACGGGCCTCTCACTGTTGTGGCCTCTCCCGTTGCGGAGCACAGGCTCTGGACGCGCAGGCTCAGCGGCCATGGCTCACGGGCCCAGCCGCTCCGCGGCATGTGGGATCTTCCCGGACCGGGGCACGAACCCGTGTCCCCTGCATCGGCAGGTGGACTCTCAACCACTGCGCCACCAGGGAAGCCCCGCCCACTCCTTCTTACTCTGCTTTGTCTGTAGCCCTCATCCCTGACATGTTACATATTTATTATCTCCTCCATTAGGCTGAGGGAAATGGCTAATAACTAGAAAACAGGACTCACTGGTTCAAGGTTTTGGAATCTGAAAGGGTGTGACAGTAGTTATGCTTCAGGAAGACTAAATTTAAAAATGGCACCTAAGAGGGACTAAAAAAAAAAAGTTACTAAATTTACCTTTTACCTCTGAATGAAGAATATACCAAATTATGGCTGTCTGTCAATTACATACAGTATTAACTAAAGAGTTAACTAAACAGACTAAACAGTAGAAAGCATCTTACATAGTATGTTTAACACTGTTTAACTGCCCAGTTTCAAATAATTTGTTGGCTTTCAATACAGGTTCAAACATAAACACTGATTGCTATAACACACACTCTCATCCTACTTGCCAAAAACAAGTTGCCACTCATCACCACGTGGCAGGTAAAGTCCATACTAGTTAGTATTGGCCTATAGTCTCACAATTTTAGAGGTAGCCCCTAAAGACCAAAAATTGACTTAACTGGAACTCTGGTGCTCAATATGGATAGAACAACATTCTTCCATATTCTGCAAGGTAATCTTAAAACTGCTCACAAGGATGATTAACGGAAAGGAGGGCACACAGATTTGCAATACCTTTATTATTTTCTTTTATAATAATAGCCACCTCCAGCACATAGTAAATAAAGCCTTAACTAGTAAGCTGTTTAAGGGATCTTCTACTTATTATTTTTACTTAAATGAAAGATAATTAGGACCACTTGTTTAGAATATATTTCAAATGTATTCGTTTCTTTCTTGCCTTGGCACATTTGACATAATTTAATCTGTCTCTGGTGATTGAATATCTGCAGTTGCCCCCAGGTCCTGACAACACACATCAATCTTAGCTAAATATTACGTTACAGTAGACCATGAAGGAGATTAAACACATGTTCAGTGCAAGTGACTTTTCCAAATAATCCTTGGTTAATCCCTGATAAAAAGCTTTTTTTTTTTTTTTTTTTTTTTTTGGTTGTAATTTGCTTTGTCTTGAAACTCAACTGTAAGATACACATTTCAATTAAACTGCGCGTCTGGTTACTTGAATTCCAATTTATCTACATCTGACTTTTAACAGATCCACTCTAGTTGAACACCTATCTGCCCACTTTTTTGTTTGTTTGTTTGTTTTTTTGCACTACGCGGGCCTCTCACTGTTGTGGCCTCTCCTGCTACGGAGCACAGGCTCCGGACACACAGGCTCAGCGGCCATGGCTCACGGGCCCAGCCGCTCTGCGGCATGTGGGATCTTCCCGGACCAGGGATCCAATCCATGTCCCCTGCATCGGCAGGCAGACTCTCTACCACTGCGCCACCAAGGAAGCCCTATCTGCCCACTTTATTATCATTTGGATCTCAGGAATTCATTTCTATCACAAAAGACCTCCTGAGTCCTATTCTTTTTTTTTTTTTTTTTTTTTTTTTTGTACGCGGGCCTCTCACTGCTGTGGTCTCTCCCGTTGCGGAGAACAGGCTCCGGACGCGCAGGCTCAGCGGCCATGGCTCACGGGCCCAGCCGCTCCGCGGCATGTGCGATCTTCCCGGACAGGGGCACGAACCCATGTCCCCTGCATTGGCAGGCGGACTCTCAACCACTGCGCCACCAGGGAAGCCCTGAGTCCTATTCTTAACAAGACAAATTTAAAATTGATCTTAAAGTATGTTATGTTCATATAAAACTGACAGGTTAAATTTAGTAAAATAAAGGTAATTTAAAAAGTTGTCAGGCTATTTAGCCCAAGATTATATACTGTTAATTTTTAACCATTAGGTCGAACATTTGTCTAAAGTTTTCAGGCTATGTTTCTGCTTTTCTATTGGTCTTTCCTTTCCACCAATGTAATGGTCCTTATTTCTCCAAAAACCATTTTGGTTAACACTCTATCATGGTAAGAGGGAAGAGAAACTCAAACAGACCTGGGTTCAGCTGTGAGCCCTGCTACTAACTAGCTCAGTGACCTTCAAAGTTTCTTGACTTCTCTGAGTAGGTAACACGGGGGTGAAACTGCCTAACTCACAGGGTCGTTGGGAGGATTAGTTGAAAAGATGTTAAGAACACGGCTTGGCATATAGGAGGTGTGCAGCAAATATTCAGCCCTCCTTCTCTCAGCGTTTACGCCCTTCCTCAAGGTCCTGGGCCTCCCACACTCGGAGGTGTAGCTGTGTGTTTGAGTTTGTGGGGAAGGTGTGCTTTGGAGTCCGTTGACCTGGCTCTGCCCCTTAGAAGCTGTGAACCGGCCGCACATCACTTAACCTTTCAGCCTTCATTTCCCCATCTGCAGTGCAGGAAAACACTTTCAGAGTTGTGAAAATTAAATGAGACTGCCAGGTCCACTGCAAGGCTCAATACATGGTGGAAGGTATTTTAGGCTCTCTCCCTATTCCTACACCAATGTGGGAAACCAGGTTTCTAGTTCCTCTGGGCTGTGCTCGCTCATCGCTAACAGGGAAAGCAAACCTGTGTCAAACTGGGGACAGTGCTCCTGGGGAGCAGAGTCTGGCTCTGCTGCTGCTTTCAGAGGTTTTCAGCTCAGGTACAATCGCACCTCCTGGGGGCCTCAGGTTGCGGGACTTATTGGTACAGTTTCCAGGGTACAACCTGGCTTGGGAAGAGGTAATCATCCATCTTTCTGGGGCTTAGAGAGATGACAGTTTTCTGAGATATAATACCTTTCAAGTTACCGTCACATTAAGTAAATGTGAGCCTTAAAAAAAAAAAAAAGAACCCTCAATCATAATAGGAAAATAAAATCTTCTGAGGTTTTTTTTTTTTTTTTTTAAACCAAGTGCAGGGAATTTCACTGTTTGAGAACATAATGAAAAGGGGGAATTTATTCGTTTTAAGATTTAAACATTTAAAAATCTGGAAATCCTAGATAACTAGCAGGTAGGATTACATACACTATTTTTAAATTTACCATTAAAATAATACCATTTCTAAAATGACCCAAGTGACTTTCCAGTATTATTTATTTGAATCTCTTTTCTTTTCATTTTTCAAAAAAGAAAACTAAGCCATATACTATGACGCTCAATAAGTGTTTGCTAGCCTTATAAAACTTTTATTGATCTTCCTGCTAGCTTGAAAGCTTTATTCCATTAGTGTCACATGTAAGTGTATTAAAGACAAGAGGAAGGATGGAGAGAAGCACCCTTGTGGTCTGGGACTCTGCCTCTAAATCACTCTGCAACAAAATATGCAGGCAGCAGACACTTGGAGCTTTCATCCAGTAAAAATT